AATATACATATATGATTATAAATCTAACAAGCATAAAACGGTCTTAACGGTCTTAAATTTATGTTATTATTTAATTTTGGAATCAAGTCTAATAGTGATAATCAATCAAATTTATTGATCGACTCAATAAGTATAATAAAAGTGCTTCCTGTGGAAAACTTATCAAGAATGTGTGAAAATGTTTAGCTCAAGTAAATCAATTGTCAATTGATACTATATTTATTATAATAGTTCTTTGTTACTTCCTCGCGCTGTTGACAGATTTATTTATTACAGGTGCGACGAGATTGACATAGAAGACATAAAACTGGATCCAATTGACGAATTGCAAGGTATAGAATTAGTGCGATATCAAGACGAAGTACCTATAGCGGAAGAATATCATCACATTGGTCATCAAGAAATAGTTATGGAAACAATCGAATATAAGCCTGAAGATTCGAACGACAAACCAGAATCTGCATCAGAGATATCTATTCTAAAACAGGTTTCCGAACACGATTCGAATCGCAAACGTGCGACAGTTTACGAGTGTGAAATTTGTGGGAAGCAAATGCTCAAGAAGCTACAATTTTTAAAGCACAGACAAGACCACGAGAGAAATCCAAAGACTGAAGATCGTTGCGAGGAGTGCGATAAAGTCTTTGATAATCATGAGAAACTGCAAAAACATAAAATCAAAGCACACCAAAAGGAGAAACCTTTTCAATGCGTTATATGCGGCAAGTGTTTCAAGACCGAGGAATTCTTGAAGACTCATCTGAAGCAACATAATAAACGTTTCACCTGTGACATATGTGGTGTATCAAAAGTTTCCGGATATGATTTGCGTCTACACAAAAAGAAGCACAATCAAGAATATGTGATTCATTGTGAGACTTGCAACAAAGGCTTTTATACGAATCAAACATTAGAACGGCACTTGCTCACTCACACCGGCGAGAAACCATTTGTATGTAAAATATGTAACACCCCATATGCGAGCGCTGCATATCTCAACATGCATATGAGATCTCATGGCGAGAGAGAGAAGCACAAGTGCAATATCTGTGACTTCGAAAGCTACTGGAAGGCCGCATTAAAAGTGCATCTTAAGATACATACTGGCGAAAATCAAATCACATGTGAAGTGTGCGGGAAATCTGTTAGTAGCAAAACGTATCTGCAAATTCACATGCGTATACATTCAGGCGAGAAGCCACACGTTTGCGAAGTATGTGGCAAGGCGTTTAGCGTACGGAAATATCTAATCGTACATTTAAGAACGCATACCGGCGAGAAACCTTACGAATGTAAGGTTTGTCAGAAGAGATTTACGCAACAGGGCTCATTAAACTCGCATATGAAATCTCATAATGAAAGCAAGTGAACAAAACATTTTTCGAAGCTCATACATTCACTGCCATGTGATGCTGCGTTTAGTGTTAAATGTGACTTTCTAATTTTTATTTTGATCTGTACTCTATTACTATACACGATCAATGTATTAAAAGATATTAATATAAAGCGAAAATAATAGATGATTATGCCATTAAGACTATGGATACAATGGATGATTCTAACAAACTTGTTTTATTCTAATGAATTTGTTCAAAATAAATTTATCTAAAATGTTAGAAATAGGTGGTTATAGTAAATACGTATTCTGACGAAATGTAATCTTATAATCTCAAAGTTTGGAATTTTAAGATCTTAAGTGTTACTACATAACTACATAAGCTGGATGATATCGATGATTTGTATTTTTTGAAAAGTCCATTATTAAAAAATTTACTTGTAAGTGGAACAAATGAATGCATAAATGAAATGTTCGCTATAAGAGAAAGAAATGACAATATTATTTCTGACCGATCTTGCACTTTTTATTAGATAATCTCAATTAAGATAAATTTTTCCTCTATATTCTATATCTATAAATTATTATTTTTAAAACTAATTTAATAAACTGATTAGTTTTTCAATATATATTTTAGAAAGTCAAACAAATAAATAAATTCGTTTAAATGACATCTGATATAGTGTAAATATTCTCGTAAAAAAACACTCAGTTTGTTCTGATATATTCATCAGAATATGTATTCATTGTAATCATAACTTAAAAAGGTATAAGTACGAAATTCATATGTATTAGGTTTAATGATTAAATTATATAAATAAGTTATATCCCATAATTATTGAATTTTGTAATTTTTAAATAATTGAATAATTACATATTCGTTTGTGGGGGGGAAAAATAATAAAAAATACAGAGTAAACAAAACTGAACAAAATATATATTAAAAAAATTTAATTTCTTGTTAGAGATATGAGACTGATAAGCATCATGAAAAGAACATATAATGAAGTTAAAAACTTAAGATTTATTTTATAGATTACTAATATATTTATATTTTACTAAATACGTTCTAATACTAATAACTTATTAAGCAGACATGCACAATTGCATCTTTTTAAATTTAATTTATTTTACTTGATATAAATTTTAAAATATTTTGTTTAAATTTGAAAATAATGCTCTTTCTTCTTACAGAAGAACATATTTGTCTGTTCCGTTATCTAACAATTATGAACAATATTTCAATCTAGTATAGAAATTTATCAGAATTTTTATTAATAATTAATAATCTTTCTTTTTAAGCATTAAAAAAATTTTTTTAAATTTATTTAAACTTTGATTTTTTAGTTAAACATATATTTTATATATATTTTAATAATATAATAAATATGTATTAAACTATCGATTATTACTAAATATATTATTGTAAATATTTTACATACATTATTTTCTGCTATATTTATGTGTAATCTTTAATGTTATCAACATTAAAAATAAAAAATATATTAAAAATTTATTCGTTGTCATACGTTGTTATCGATAACTGCGAGTTGTTGTATGTCTCTCTCTGAGTATCGTAGTAGTTATGTAAAATACTAATAGAATAAAGGTTTCCTACGTCATAATAATTGGATATGGAAAGCAAATGATGGAACAACCATCAATATGAAAATATCAAGATTATAAATATTATAAATATTTATTAGATTTTTAAAAAATACGCATTATTTTGTAGCACAAGATTGGTTTAAAAACAATATATTATTATTTTACAGTAAATGTATTTTACAGTAATTATATTTTATTTGCAGATTTGTTATGAGCATATAGTATAAAAAAAAATATTTGAAGAATAATTAAATATATATATATATGTGTGTGTTTATAATAAACGCGCGCGCGCGTGTGTGTATATATTAAGTGTAGTAAAAAGAAATCCATTATTTTTGCTATATACAGGGTATTCGGAAATTCAACCGATAACGCTGTGAGCAGATAGAGCGAATTAAACTGAGTCGAAAAGTCCTATACTATTTTGCAATAGTTTACAAGATATTGATTACTAAAAATTGCCGAATATTAGTATTTAATAATTTTTTTCTTAAATATTATCAACTTTACAAAAAAACTTCAAGAAACAAAAATTATTTATTTTCTTCTCATATAGAACTCTAAGAATTTTTTCAGAATGTTTTATCTTTCAGAACTTTTTAGTACTGCATTTTCTTATATTGGAAACTATTTTTACCAACATATAGAAAAAATATGATATTAAAAAATTCTGAAAAAATTCTCAGAGTTCTATGAGAAAAAAATTAACAATTTTTGTCTCGCTATTTTTCTGTAAAGTTATATGATAGTATTTGAGTAAAAAATTATCGAAAATCAATATTCAGCAATGATATCTTACTCAATAAATGATATCTTGTTAACTTTGTGAAAATTGTAAAATGATAGGACTTTTCGACTCGGTTTAGTCCGCTCTACTTGTCGAATTATCGGTTGAATTTCTGTACATCAGGTATATTCTTTTTAAATAAGTAATTTTTAATAAGTAATCAATTTAAATCAGTTGATATTATACGTACAGTTATTATTTCATTTTCTTTTCAGAAATGAAAAACCAGCACAGACGTGTGTAAAAAAATGAACTGTCTATAGATGAATGTATGGATTCTACATTGGTTTCAGTTTTTGTTAAAGAAGAGGCATATGTCTCTTCTTTATAAAGCAAGAAAATTGTAGTGTTCAATACGAAGATAAATACGAATATAAATTTGAGACATGAGCCTTCTCAGGATTCACTGATGCAAAAAGAACCTAAAAAAATTACAAATGGAGGAATTACTCATCAGAATTATTCAGGTATGAAAAAACAAATCACCAGACAAACGTTTTATGAGTGTGTATATATATATATATATAT